CGAGCAACAACACATAAATTGCTTAATTATCGGCAACTAGGAACATAGTGTACGTGACGTACGTATGAACAATAATACTGTTTGTACAAATACCGAATGTTCCCCGGTGTCAGCGATAAAATCGACGCATATGCAACTGTGCAGAGCTTGCACACATTGTATTGCCTTTTTGTGTAAACGCTACTGCCAAGCAGTATGACTATGATCAATGGAGCTTTCCTCCAACTTTGTTCCGAAAGTGCACGTGTTGCTCAAACAGAATCAATATTCAGTGCATGATACATTTCCATGTTTACCTATAATAAACTTAGGCCTGTTAAGTAGCCGTATGATTTACATTGTTTCTAGACGAAAACAGAAAAATGCTTATTTCGTCTGTTTATTTCGTATTCAACAGCGGCACCGTGTCATTTGTATGCCTCCACACGGAATATTTGTTCAGCGACGCGAGACCGTCACTCAAATAAAAATTAACGAACTTTATCTCATCATTGGGGCTAAGTGAGTTTTGCCGTGTCACCGGGCACTTGGTTCTCTCGGTACTTATCAACCGTAAAAGGGGGTTAGTCGGAGAATTGCGGGTTTAAAGAGCGTTAAAGAAGGCAGGAAGAGTTGTTTGTTAGCGGACCCATTTAATGCTTGTGATTAATGATTATTTCATCACGGTGCCTTGTCTGATTTACAACAGTCGCACACCTACTATTAATGAAAATTCATTAGCTCCATTAAGGCTGCTAAGGTTGAAGAAAATTAAAATTAGTTTGACCTAAATAATTTCCTGAAAATCAATTAATCTACTAATGGGTTCAGATTTCATAATAAACCTTTGATTTATAATTTATTCAATTGCTTCCTTCTCAGAGGTTTGAAATATTCCAATTATTTGTCAATTACCCTAATCACTTCGATCTCTACTATTGAAACGAAATTAAATGACGATATTCCTTGGAATCGGGATCTCGGGATGTTCGTTAATCATTGATCTTTGAAAACACGTAATCATGCTTTTTAATCTCGCCAGCTATTTTTTTTTCTGGTGCCGGGATAATAGAAAGTCGGATTGCGAGAAAAGCAAGCAATACGAGTGGAGGGATGCGGAGAACGGATACGGAACAGGATAAAAACGAAGTTACAATTGAGCAATCTCATGATTGGAGACGCTTCGTGAGAGAGGCTGCATACGGTCTACTTGCCTATGTCACGGCTGTTCGCTGTCCTGTGAGATAAATCCGTCCAATTCTCTAAGGAGCACCGGTTGCTGTTTATTTCCCGCTTTTTCCTCGATTTCATGAACGACTCTGACTGTTCTTTTTCTTCCTATCCAAGATCGAACAACAATTTTCCAACCTTCGATTATTCTACTCTAAACTGCTCTCATGATCACAAATGCAACGCGTTTCAAACTGAATTAATTGAAATGACGATTTGATTTGAAATCTAGATTAATTGATCTTTATAAAATGAAATTATTATAATAATATCTTATTCTAACCTTATCCACCCAAGAATTGGATTTAGGTTCACATTCAGAAAAATTTAATCACTCGCTCCTCCAAGCACATTTATTTCTATTAAATTATAACTATTATATCTTTCTGTGGTATACGATCACATTTAAATCCATCTAGATGACAAAAGTATTTTTATGCTCCTGGCCTTTCTTTCCCTTTTAATTTTTTATCCAGTACTCTTAACCAGTTTACCATACGATGAAATTATAATGAATCTTTTATTTTTGAAAATTATTTTTGGATTTATGAAAGTTTCATGGATCTTGAATTCACTTAAATATTCGCATTATAGATAGTATAAGGATAGCTCGTTTAATCTACTTGAAAAACTTCCACTTCCGATCAAATTATTTCTAGGTTCTGTGCTTATCTTTCTTATAGAATTCATGTTGGAGGATACGGTTGACTATAGACACGCAAGTAAATGTATAAATCATGTGGCTGGTAACGTGTGTGAACATTGTATCTAAGCGAAATTCGATCCCGGAACACTTGATATCCACGATAATGGAGTAAAGCAACTGTATCTCAATTTTACCATAGTTTATCGCGGAATTTCCTAATAAGCCATAATAGCTGCTGGTTGGAATGTTTGGTTGAAATTCCACCTGGGATTATTGATCACTCTTATTTTTCCAAGAATCCGAGCCGAAGCAACAGTTTACTCCAAACGTACCCTGACCTTCCATTCTTTCGCATGCTTTTCTATAATTAACATACTTTATACCTTTCTATAATTATATTCTTCTGAATAATAGAAATACTATATTTTGTTTTTAAAAATAATTAATCAGTAGTTGGAATTTTAAATTCGATACTGCATATCATGATGACCCGATAATAATCGTAATCATGAGTGTGATTATTAACATGATTTACTTAATCATATTATTATCAATATTCGTATTATGTACGTGAGAAATCGTTAAAAATATGTCAATCGAACTTCGATATGCCACTGGAATTCTCCAATATCGACGTCCAATATTCATATCGTTTTTCGATCAAAATCTATTTTAAAATTCTTGCATACAAACTCGTGTAGTAACGTAATATTAAAATCATGAATATTTTACCTATCCACGAGATCAATATCTCCACATTTAATGATGCATTGATATTCTCAAAGCCAAGTTTATATCGCAACATAGTAAAGAAATTAAAAAGAGCGATATCTCTTGATTAATTTCTCGATTAATTTCCATACAGACATATTTCTGTTTCAAATTATAAATTCAATTGAAATACTATATTAAGAGTTCATATAAAATATGTGAATAGAAACAAATTAGTCACTAATAAATTCAAACGAATACGCCTGTAAATTTCCTTGGAACATTTTTCACTTTCTCATATCTATGCTCTTACATGTTTACGTTCTGCAAAATTTATTACACGCCTTACGTAACTTTTATATTACGTTTCATGGTAGATACGACAAAAATAATTCTTTGTTACATCAAATACGACGCTTTAAATTTATTAAATCGATTTTCTTTTTTTAACTTCGTGAATATTGTCAAATGTCCGCAAATACTTGTGTTAGTCGTTGCACGTATTAAACTCCGAGTAGAAAATTTATCTCGAACGTAATGACGCTATAATAATCGTTAAATTCAGCTATCTCGATCCAAACACGGCTTTCAAGTAATTTTGTACGCGATCGTGATTCTCGCGGCATTGGCTCCTTTCCATGGTGCCATCGGTGGCACTATTACTCGCGCCTCGACAAAACTCGTCCAGTCATCGTTAGCAATCGAGAAAACGATTTCGGGTTGTACGTAGGACGTATACGTATTCGTATAAATGAAGTATAACAAGATTTATAACTCTCGTAAACGTTTTCGTTGTACCATGCGGCTATTGTGTCTGGAATTTTGATATCCCCGACGACATTGAATTCATAGTAACAATCGGTGACACGATTGTGTTACTGCATTTGAGTCACGACAAGTGGGTCGGTCGAGTATAATTAGAATATCGTGAAAAGTATCAGAAAAATATGTCAAACGTGTAAATCTTGATGGAACGCTGCCGGCAGATCTTCTTTGCATCTCACTGTATCGAGTTTGGGAACTAAAACAAGATATTCTTCGTTACCATTAAATCCGTTTTAAACTTCATTGACAAAGACAATTGCATTTATTCCACTGGCAATTCTATTAAAACTGCTTGCTCAAATTACTCCTGTGAGTTTTACGCAAATAGCGTACCAATAAATAATATACAAGGCAGCATAAAAAACGACACGTTGAAATGATGAAACCGCTTTTAATTTCCAATTTAATACAGAAAGTCCTCACTTTTAGTATCCTATCTTTGCCCAAAAGGGAGGTTTAAAACCGCATAAATATAAATCAGTCGCGAGATTATTTCACTTAACCGATCGCGAGAGTTCCACAGGCGACTATTCACATTAACGACCGTCTCTCCTCTCGTTAATGCTCGGATGTAATTTAGAGTGGGAACGCTTTTCAGCCGATACAAATCGATCCTCGTTGCCGGTGAAAATACGGCATGAATATAATCGGCGCGAATATAAACGAGCCGGAGCTGCCCGGAAATAGCAATCCATCAATATAGCAGGTCAGGGTGGTACGGATTTTGGTTTTCACCGTTAATCAGTAATTAATTAGTTTCTGTCCGAATAACTGGTTTGTCGCGCGTTACCGTCAATGTTAGGAGTTGAACGTTGTCAGGAAAAATAAATCACGTATAATGCAGCGTATCGTCGAGGGGAATTCTACAATCTATCGAATGCGAGGTCTCAGCCGTAATATCGCGGAATGCGTTCGAACGTTATAACCTTCCGTTGCGCGACGATGTGCGGTTGTTTGAATGCGCGCAATGGTATCAGTGGAATATGTAGTAATAATAAATTAGCGGTGCCCAGAAACGGATCCTGCATTCCCACCGTTGCAGACTCACGGCTTGTTTGCATTTTGTAATGTGGACTTATTGATCCCCAACCGTTAAATGAAACTCATCCCTGGAATTATTCCAATGAAACGTTCCTGCGATTTTCCTTTTTTTTTTTCATTTATTGATTGTTTAAAGCTCAAATAATCATTTGCATGTTCAATTTTAGCTCTTAACTCAACACTATTTCTACCAAGCGTTGTCAAAAGACACTTTTCAAATTTTTACTTCAAACTATTACTGGATGTCGTTCTCGTGAAAACGATTTATCGAATTTTATGGATGTTAATCTATTTTTGGTGTTACTGTCAAATAAGTTCTATAACTGTTTCTATCCTACCCTGTCCAAAATTTGACTTTAATTAAAATCTTTCAAGTTATTTGTTTAAGGATGTATTGGCTATACAGTCAATCCCAAAAGTTTGTGTACCTTAGAAAAACGGATTTCCTGTAATTAAAAAGAAAACAGACGTCGGAAGAACAATGTTAATAATAAAATTTTTATTAGGTTGGCAACTCAGTAATTGCGGATTTTAGATAAGAAGTCTATCTTGATAAAATCTGCAATCATTTAGTTGCTAACCAAATATTTATTCTACTCGACTGGATGATCATAAACAAATAGATTTTTTTATTTATCCATGATTCTACTATTTTTCTCCATCTCGAGTGATGAGTTTCGATTAGACTTTCGACCAAGTATAATTGTACCGTCCGTAGCAAACCGATAACAATAACTCATTAACACATCGGAACAAATTGTCGGTACGTACGTTCCTAATCGCTAATTAGCCAATTAGTTCACGCAATTTTGCTAATAACGGTCGGGCGTATCGGGCCGATGAATGACGTGGCGCACCTGTGCAACCGTGTTAAAGGAGGTATTCAACGACGATGTCTGCGTTGGTTCCGTTGCCCGTATGTTATTCGATCATAGCCTGACCTATAATTAGTATTGTACTAACAAACTCGCCACCTTTCGCGGTTACTCCCATCAACCCGATCACGTTTTGTACTTCGCCAATGATACTACAACGTCGCATCAGTTTCATTATTTACCTAGTCACCCAATATCTCCCTTCCTCCTGTTCATCATTAGACTTCAAAGTTTTGCCATAATCCCAATTTAATTTTATTCGAATGAATGTTGATCGCATTCCATTGATAGCTGCTTTTTATAATCAATTAATTAATCAATGACTAATCTAGACTGGTCCAAAAATTCATATTTTATCATTATAGCAATGGTTTTTCGTGGCTGTTGTTAGATGATACGTAAGTGTCGAATAATCTTATTCTTTTAAGTCATTCACATCAACAACAAACAATTAAAATATACGCAATAAGAGAATATTAATTGTACAGTACTGTTAACTCGACTAATCTCGAATAGCTCAGACTAGTTTTTCCTAGCGAAGTGTATATCACATGAATAAAATAAATTAGAAATGTAAAATGATTATACGTAGAATTGTTAAAAATATTTCTCTAATCTATCGCAAAGCATTATTTCAAATAAATCTAATTATTAAGCAGGAATTGTAACCACAATTCCTTCCTTTGAAGTAACTGTACATTTTTTATGCGAATCTATTCAAGTGAAAAACATTGTATAAATTAGAATAAGACTTATAATTTAAATTTTTATAATGTAAAGAAAAGAAATTTTCATTTAAAAAACGATTAGAATGACATGGAAACATCTATCTGTCGTGTGAGGATGATTTGCACTAATGAACAAAAGAACTATAACGACGCCGCGGGCGGCGTGGCGCCCTTGACAATTTGCAATGCTAATATCGTTCTCATGACTTTTCATTTCTCTGTTTGTTAACCTACGACTATTTCTCGTTGCACCGACGACTCCGTGAGTGAAGACGCCTTATGTAAATCCAACGTCTGAAGAAAAATTGTTCGTGCCGTTCATTTTATGGATTTTGTAGACTTTCAAATTTTTAAATGCTGTTCCCGTTGAAGCTTTTCCAACGACTAATAAAAATTAATGTCATAATTATTAGATCTGCATTCCAGTTCCTTTCTCTTTCTACTTTCCTGATAACAAGTTATTTACATCTTGCACATAATACTTGCTATCTAATGACAGTTCTTACATTGTACATTCGCAGTAAAACTTCAGGTGAAAAAAGAAGCTCAGTACTGTTGCAAGTTGAACCAAATATGCCTTCAGCAGCTTAGCATGGGTATCGCAAACTTCGTGAGTTGAAAATTCCCCTTGGTACCTCGCTTTCCTAGGCATATGCAGTTACCTGCGAGTTAGAAGCCACTTGGCTCCTTATTGATCCGAGTTTAGACGTCTCCGTAGACGTCGTTAAAGTAACTTCGAAAAACGTTACATCTCCGTTGCTCTCGAAATGATTAATCGTGATATTGTCGTTGAAACATGTATACCTTGGATCATCTTCGCCTCGTAAATCATTAAATAATAAGATTCATTTAGACATTTTGAGAAAACGTCATTCAATTTATTATTTCTTAATGCGACACCTAATTTACATAACTGGACGATTTTAATTGTTTTAATTCATGGTTTAAAGGCCATTTATAGAAGTTCTCGATATTCCCTTTCATTTATATTGTCACATATTTATTTAAGAAAATGTTGGATTGAAGGAATTCAATATTTATAATCATGCAGCTTGGAACAAATTCAAATGAACCGTCTCTATTTTCGCTTGATAATGGACCGGAGTAGGTAACGCTTGTCAAAACTAAACAGAAGTCGCGTTTCGAGAGGGATATTCGACGTCCGGAGGAGCCGGGTGTAAAGTTTGCGACATAATGTTGAGTTAGGCCGTGTAAATAGTAGAGGCACTAAGGCAAGCGGTAGATGGATCCCTCAACTGAACAATACCTCTTTGTCGAGTTGCAAACGGCTGTTTCCAGCTGGCAAACGTATGTTGGTGCTTAGCTATGCAACGACGATACCGGCGCCCACCGTAGCCTATGCATTGTTATTTTGATGAGGAACTGACTCATTACTGACTTTAATATTTTTTACGCACACTTACATCTTCATCTAAACCGAGATCTACTTTGAGAGCAGAAGGTATAGTGAAATCCATAAGTGTTCGTACACATTTTAAAATTGAGTTACTTCACTGTACGTGTTGAATTATATTTGGTTTCTAGATTGTATAAAGCTTTACGTTCTGTAAGTATATCTTAAAACTCCTACCTGAAAGTGTATCTTATCATGGTCGTCTTACTTTTGCTGAGTACTTTCGTACAAAATCGGGTTTGGTATTCCTTGAATGAAACGTTGATAAGCGAATACACATTATATGTATATATACGAGTGTATTGTGTACAACAGACAACGTAATTTCGTCGTAAACTTCAAAGGGATTAATTGGATTCTTCTTTTATGACGGAATAGGAGCCGTAAAAACGTTTCGTTCTCACCCGTTGATGACAAGCAAAGCTTTAATTTAGACGAAGGTACGCGTGTCTGCGCGTCCGTTTAACGACTACTCGTCTTCTTTACCGCTCATTGTGCACGTCGTCGTCGAGCATTTGCTTGCGCAAGGAACGTCGAATGGACGTCGACGCTCATTGTGTAAGTAGGCGGTACAAAACGTTCCAACTGTTATCTAATCTCGGAGGAGAGAGAACCGCTTCGCGACTCTCTGGCTCATCGCGTCACCGTCTGGTTGCTGCCAGTGAAAAAGTGTTTAATCGCAAACACGCCTCACCTTCCATACGCATCCGGGTTTAGGGCGAATTCCTCACGCCCAAGTATTAAACGCAGTTTAAGCTACATTTATTTTTATTTTCTTTTTCGTAGAATTTGAAATCTCTTATGAGGTTCATTTAATTGTACATGAGTACGTACAAACATTTAATACATTTTCTATTTCTACTATTTTAATTTAATAATCTTAGATCTTCCTATTTAACCCTTTAAGGAATTAAAAAAATACAGAAACAGATTTTATTATGCAATATGAGAAGCAACAAATATTTCAACAGAGAAAGGGAGGGGGGTTAAATTTTAAGTTTCCGTAATTATTGAATCGAAACAAGATACTGTGCATTATACAGATCATTATACTAAACATATTAAATTTTCTTCTTATCTGAAGGATCCTTGATTTTAAAGAATTCAGTGGTTTTAGGTCAGATCACACACATATACGAATATTGTGGTAACTTAATGGTACAACATATGATGAACAAGTTGGATGAGTAGGTGTTGAAAGCATATATGTAGAAATTAAACGGCAATCCTCTCATTACCGAGCACAATCGCAAACGTAACCAGCCCTTAGAGACCTTTCCCTCGATTGCCCTCCAATTCCTGGTACAATCGTAGAAGCGAATTGCATGGAAACACGAACGACTCGCCTTCGCTAGTCCCAATGCGCCCTAGGAAACTAAAAACGCTCGTTGGTTGCAGATGACACTTGGCAGCCCGTCGTCGTAGGACCGACGCAGCTTTCCATCCGCTCAGCGAACTCTCTCTCTCTCTCTCTCTCTCTCTCTTTCTACACATCAAGAGAGATCCATTATGTTCATCGAAGGGCATGTAAGAACAACGCAATTGATGTACCGCTCTGCGTTGTGAGCTCGATTTACTGTACGTTCTGCGTCGCAACAAGTACCGTGATACCTGGCTGATCCACGTCGAGGAGAAAGGCGAGTCGGAAGAGCCGCAAAGAGGAAAAGCCGCGAGACAGAGAGTGTGACAGGTGTTCGGCGTTGAAAGCATCGAAGAAAAGTCGAGCGTAAATGCCCATAGAGGCGCTTAAGCAGGCTTACGCGCGAGCAAGCGTACCGTGAACACATCCCGGCTTCGGTTCCGCCGCGCGGCGCGCCCGAGAAACGTGAAAACGCGCTCGTACAGGCGTGAGGGATGCGGCCCATGGGCGAAGGGTGGGGTCTTTGGGCACCGATAAGGCTTATCCGAAGATACGATGGCCGGCTGCTCGGCTCTTGTCGTCAGTCGTAGTGCTCAGGTGGCGTCGACGAGATCGCCGTTCGCTTTAACTCACGCTGATATCGCGGGTTCGCATCTATTCTACGCACCAGCATCGTCGTCATCGTTATCACCGTATCCGGTTCGTAGAGCTCCGATCGAATTGAGCACAGTCACGGAAACGGGGAAGGATCGCGATCAGGAAGCAGAAGGTGCCTGAGAGGAACGAGGACAAATCGTCCGCCGACGGTGCGCAAACAGGTTGGAATCGACAGAATTTGAAAATTGCGTATTGCGACATGAGGATGAGTCAATCGTTACTTGGAATGAGATTAGAAGTTTTTATGCAATGAGTATGATAGTATATTAGACGATGTTCACTCCAGGCTTGACTGTTGAGTACATAATGTTCTCGTTTGATAATTTGTACAAAACGTTTCTACAAATTGAAGATAAGAAACATTTATTCCTGGTGATTATTGACCCTCGTACGAAGATGGAGAACAATCGGTGAAAACGCTTTCGTCGGTCTCCCCTAACTTCAACTTTCACTCTCTAATCATCTCGTGCTCAAACCGTCTCGAGATTTTAATTTGACGGTTTAACGTGCCAAGTGGTCAGCGATAAAGAGAATTCGAGTTGGGAATTCAACCGAAAAGGAGAGTTTCGTCCCGCGACGTTTGGTCTGGACTGAGAGGGATAGAGGGAAGGACGAAGGGAAGAGCGAACGTAAGGACAAAGGCGCTAGAGTTAGAGGGTAACCTGAGGGAGCCGAGGCTATCTTTCCTGCGCGCTTTTCTCAGCCCGCGGGCGTCACTATTTCCCTTGTCTTACCCTCTCCTTCCCGCGAGCTCTTGTCTTCGCCGCGCTTTCTTTCTCGCCTGGCCCCGCCGCTCGCGTGCTAAATTATTCGTGACCCCTTTTGACACTTGACAGTGGTGGCAGTTCCGGTAATTGCGTCTCTACCTCTGCGCCCTCCGGGCTCCAGTTTGACTTTCTTCATTCTTCGTCTCGCCTCCGACTGTCTTTGCTGTTTGCCCTTGTTGTACGTTTCTTCAACCGTCGAATGAAATTCCGGTATAATCGTAGTTTCTCTACAGATCGTGTGTTTTTATCAATTAGATATTTTTATCAGTGATATATAATCGTCATGAGGAAATTTCGTCAATTTATAATTCGGATTGATTTGCTTGTTTCCGAAAAAATTATTGTGGGATCCCAGAAAAATACGACGACGAAACTGGCAGTTGTCGTTGTCAAGCTTAGCAGTTACGAGACTCGAAGAAAGACAAACGTGTTAATTTCAAAACATGTTAATTTATTGGATTATTTGGTAGAATTTTATTTGGTAGAATTTTATTCTCACATACGAAATTAGTTATATTTAAAAAAATACAAGAATATACTTTCTATGATCAATCTAACATTATATCTTTTAACCACGTACGCGAATATAATGAAAATTATGCATATATTTTAATATACATTGAGAGGATGACGAGGTGCCCGCGACTATCAACGGTTTAACGCGTCGCGACGTTATGCGAGTAAGTTTATCGTAGTTGAATTCGGGCGTTGGTTCGTTTGTTCGTACGTTCGTTCATTCGTGCTTTTTGTTTCTCTCCCGGTACGCTCATTACGCTCGAGCGTTGGTTCGTTCGGTTGCGTCGTGTTCCACGGTAAATAACGGGGCGGAAGCTTTCCCAGATGCTTCTCCCAGGCGTCTTCGAACACGTCTTAGAACGGAGCGCGATACCGTTCGAAACAAAGGGACACTCGAGACGCCGAAAATCCCCGAAGAAGCTGCTGCAGATTGTCGGTCGAACGAGGAGAAACCGTTGCAGTTTCTCATCCCTGTCCTATTTTCGTACGGCTTTTTGCTCACAGTAAGTACCATCGCGCTCCTGGGACACCCGACCCCTGCCTAAAGACAGGAAACGGAACTGTGTACAAACGAGTCCTCCCAATAACTCCGAATTCAATACGAAATTTAATTACCAGAAAAATATATTTTCTAAACATTCATCCTCATTCCTCATGTTTTAGGTTTCACGTGTTTAGATTTTCCTTCTCCACTGAATTTATTATATTATGATACGTTTTAATATAAATCTGTCACAAGTTTTCTTATTTTCATAAAAGAACGTCTTTCGCGTTTTCAATATTTAGTTACGCGTATTTTATAATTCTGAAAACTGTTTCCATAATATTTGGCAAGCTAACAGTGTTACTTCACTGCTAAATAGACGTTTGAACAGGAAAATGAAAAATATGTTTAAAAATGGTAAAAGAATAGTTTAAGGGAAATTAAGTAATGACCCGATTTGTGTATACAAGCAGAGTTTCTAATTAAACTTGAACTTTTAATTGACTTGTTGAATGTTTCGCGCTGGAGGTGCGCTACGTATGCGTTCTCCTCCGATTCCATACGTTCTCGACGATGTTCTTTGAAGTGTTACCCTGTTACTCAACGTTCGTAAATTATCGTCAGTGAAAGAAGCACAGGCCTTCTTCGAGATCAGTTTGTCACTAGTTAATTAAAGACAAATAGAGAGTATTATATGAAGTCCTCTACAATTTAACAAAAACTAGAATATATTTATAAAAAAATTCCTGTTATTTCTCATTCTGTGTGCTCTAGACATATTTATATTATATCAAACATACAGGTAAAATATTGAAAACTATTTTTCCATATTGAGTTTCATACAAATCGCATCTATACGCAGACGTGCATTCTCACTTACACGCTCACACGGATTTATTCATGTTTTCTCACAGTTTGTGCAATCAAAATTTTCCAATTACTTGAGCAAACGTAAATCTAGGCCATCAATTTGAACGTGTAGCGATAGGTAAAACGAATTGAAGTTGTTTTATTCGACGGTGTACCATTCAGTGGACAAAAGCTATACTCGATTGAAACGTTTGTTACTAATACATATAGGAAATTCGAATATCTTTCGGAAACCAGAAATTTTACAGCAAACATCATCGTATATATGTAAACAAAAACAACAGCGCATATGCTGAACACCGATTGTTCTCCTCGACCTATAGCTCGAACCAACGTAACGACAATATGTTTTCATCTGTTTTTATAGCGATTCGAAGGAGCGGCTAATCGATAGCTGGGATTATTCGGCAGTCTCGATTCGAACGTTGAACGTTAGTCGAAAGTTCCTCTGATAATCTGCGGCAACGGACCGAGGGACAGATTATTATCGGTGTTATCGTGTGATCAGTGCAATTGGGTTTTCGTGAACAGTGTTCTGCTTTCTGTGTCGACTATTTAAAAGTAAAGAGAGAAACAAGGAATTCGTGTAACGAGCCGGGATTGCGACGAACGTGAGAGCGGGTACTGTTTGCGTTACCTTAATAGATAAATTTTCGGTACGGTTACCGATTTGATTCGTTGGCACGCGCACGGTAGCGTTTGAGGGTTGACGCCTTCAAACCGTAAACTACGAGTAATCCTGTCTTCCCCAAGGATAAAGGAGACCGAGGGAGGGAGGCACCGCGAACCGGTCGCCAGAAGAATTCCTATGAAAATGCTTCAATCGTTGAACGCTCTGGCGGGTAAAATCTCGCCAGGCTCACCCACCGACAGTAACGCGAACAAGGTGCACATGCACAATAACAACAACAACAATAACAACAACGTCGTGCATCATCATCATCCGTATTCGAAGCAACAGGTACAGCAGCAGCCATCGCCGTCGTCGCAGTCGAGCAACGGCGACCAAAAGGAAAACAAGTAAGTTCGATTTTCTTTTCTATGCTTTATTCATTGAGAAATTGTATTTTATAAGACGCACCGTGCAGCAAAGTATCTTTAGGAAAAAAACATTTACATATGTAGCCGATATTAAATGGACACACTTTTTGCATTGCACTGCATACTTATGCATTTAATATTCGATCAAATAACATTTCTAAGTCTGATAAAAATCGTTAGAAAAATCGAATCATGTAAATATTCTTTAATTTATCTCGGTTATAAATCAAAAACCATGAAAACCTACGATTTAATTTTTAATCGTTTGTAGCTCATAGCAACATCAACCGATTTTTACGTAACTGTGTACAAATGATTCGAGGGATGTTGAACTAACTTCGTACGTATGTATAAGAAATATATACATGTGAGTCCAACTAATCGTGACGCATGGAAAGTATTAGAGATAGAAAGACAAGACATGTCATAATTTCTATGTATGCATGCGAAGTCAGTCCGAAATGCTTTGAGTCACTTGTATATACATATAATTTGAATCAATAAACGGAATATTCCAATTATTTATTAAAGATCTCCAATAAAATATTTGGAAACCATTTACTTTATTCTTCGCGATTATGCCAACAAAAATTGTTAACAAATTTCTATTACATATTAGGTATTAAATGAAGTCTCTTAGTATTCCATAGGAATATATGTCCTTTGGTCTATTAAAAAAGTTATTCCATTTTGAAGTGCGTCCACTTAATATTGCTCACGACTGTACTATTAAAAATTACTTAAAACTGTTTGAAAGCGATCACTATTGCACTATACGTATGTATAATATTGTATAATCATGTATAATGAAGTATTACATAGTGAATTTTGTCTAAAAAGAGGTTCAAGATTAGATCTCGTTTAAACTTCAACTTTAAGTGTATAAATTCCGTGACTGTAACGGGAAGTGAGATTGTGTCGGTTCTATTTCTTTCGCTCTATAATTACACGCGGAAAACAGAAGGTCCCAGTAATTGAGCTTGTTCGATAAACAAGATAAGAAAATCAAAACTCACAGTGCAGCCGCGCTAGTTGAATTACGGCGGGCAATGTCGCGATAACAATGAAAATGCAATTTAATGCTCGTTACGGGCCACTTCCCCGTCTACGCTCCCGCTGCTTTTTTCCCATAATCGTGTTATTTGCAAAACCTGAGAGTGAGATACTTCGCTTAATGGAAAGGCTGTCCTCCGAGGATACACGATGCGAGCCAGGGGGGTTCCTCTTTAAGAAAAACTCGAGTGAATAATAGCACCCGCGACGGCGCGTTACAGACCTTGACTATTTAAATTGTGTCCGGTCGGAATCAATAGAGCCTCTTTCTAATTCGTACAATATAAACGAGATGTGATATTTGCGAGAAAAAGATTAAATAGTAGATCAAATTTCGCACGAATAATGAGTAAAGAAGTAAATTCATTTTTTAATGTTAATTTAATTCGAGACGTTAAATGAAATGAAAAATTGTTGAAATTGAGTTTGTTTCCATATGTTCAGTGTTTGCCGTTTTTAAACGACTTCGTTTCACGCGATTTATTTAAAGTTTCTTTACTCGTCGGCCAGCGCTGGTACAGACGTACTAATGTCAAATATAAAAGCACAGTGAAAGCCTTAACGCGAAACGCGCCAATAGCGTACGGGCTCTTCGTTATAGAGCCTATAACAAAATTTATACGATCTGCAGCTGGTAGATGGCCCTTAAAATATTGCGGGCGTAAATTCGCGCGGCTGTTCTCGGTTACTCAAGAAAACCTCAGGTCCCTTTCCGTCATCGTAAACTAGATCCTTAACCCTTAAATTCATAGTATTGTAACTTTACAATGTTTGTAGGTGTACACCTTCGCCTTATGCACGTATAAAATGCAAACCATGAGATTTTCTATTCACGTCCCGACTATACGGTTATAAAAAAAGATCGCGTAGGTTCCTCAAATTATTTTTCTACGATCTAAAAATATTCTGTTGCTTCGAAGAAGATCGTGGGTGTAAAGATCGAGGTATGTTCTTTTTATTGGGACTCGAAGTGGTAGAAGACAAAAGCTCGATACATCGATATACTCTGCTTCATTATTTCGTTACGTCATGTAAACGTGGATCGCGCGAATAACGGTCGGCAAAAAGGAAGAGAACAGGAACGGAAGTCTAAAATAACTTGGCGGCATTCCCCGATACGAGAGAGGGCGAGAGACCATACCCGCGACATCGTTCTCCTCGGCTCGGATCTTCGCCTCCTCCCTGTTCGACTTTCCGCCACGCGCCTGTTCTCTCACCTTTGCTCGACGGTCTCCTTCATCCACCGACCACGGAGTGGATCCTACTAAAATATGCACTGGGCTAACATAAAACGCGATATTCGAAGGGCGAAATTCTCAAGGACCCGGGGAAATTCTCGGGGAATCCGGTTGTTGGCGGACGCAGATGGTTCGCCGGTGATTCATGACGAAATTAAGTCTTCCCTCTGAGTCGTTAGGTCTACCATCGATCGTAGTACTATCATTTTTTAAATATTTCCCTGTTAAGATATTAAAATTGCAGGGAATTTACAAGGGTTTCGCAAACGCCGTTTCCTTTAATTATCCAGTTCAGAGGATTGGATGTATCCGAAACGAAAAACTAAAAACAGACACGTTTCGACAAGAAGGAAGAGGAAGCAAATATTGTATTTTATTTCCTTTTTATCTTTTGCCTGTTTTTTCTTCTAAAAAAAAAACAAAAACCAGAAAAAAACATATTTCTCTTTGGGGAAAAGCTCGAATCTAAACAATGGATTCTCCGCGACAAAACAAAACAAAAGTAATTCGAAAACATTTCACGGATAATTTATATTCCCCGCAGTACACTGACGAACATTGATTTATAAGCCTTTTTTTTTTCCGACGGACCTCCGGAAACGTAGCCTCGACAAAAATCGTGTCGACCACCGGCGATGAATAGCAACCCGCTTGACGCGACTCATCCATAAATCTCGTTCTCTGCTCCTGTTTGTATGTAACTCTCTAAACGGTCACAGTATTTTTCTATTCGTCTGACATAGTTAACACGTCCCGTGGCACTTGAGTCACATCGGTGGTAATCGAGATTTCATTCAGCAAACGAAGACAGATCTTGTCGTTTGATTAAAACAATATTTCGCTCGGCAATTTTAGACGCGTTGTCGCACGGTTATGGTGGGTGAGAGATTTAACATTTATGCTCGCGGGTGTAGTAAGTGCGCGTTCGATGAACGGGTTACACGGGCAAGGCCGTATTAAGTCGTCGCGTAAATTCGCTTTAATGCCTAATAGCGGCCGCGCTCTGGCTGGCTGCTCATAGAATAATAAGATACTGCCGCAACGAGTAGTTAATTACGGGAAGTGTTAGCAGTGTCGGTGGTCTGCGGCGAGTCGCTCGGTAGCGAAAGCGCGTAAGTTCTGCGAGGAGCCGTTTAACGCGTGTAGGGAAGCCGATAGGCGCAAGGGTTAAGTGATATGTACGGCTCGGGGGAGGAATTCGCTTAACAAAAGGGTCACTAAAGGACCCTAAAGGTCGTGCGAGGAGGGTTCCCTTATCTCGATTCGAATGCTTCACCGGCGTCGGGAAACTACATCGAAATTAATTTCCACTTGTCGACAGAACGGTATTTCTATCTCTGTTCGAGTCGCTCCGCGCGGCATAGCCTTGCGTCGCCGGTAGACGCGGTAATCGTGGTTCCGTATTTTACGTCTCGTGAATTACGTAAATATTTGCCGCCACGCATCTTCGTTCCCAGTTTATCGCGGCACAGTGCAGTCCATAGTTAGGTCGATAAGAATTTTTGTTCTCCCGCCGGTTAAAACAGCGATGGCAATTTTCAGGTACTACAGAAATTATATTCATAACTTCGCGATTATCACTTGTATAATACGTTTCGTTTTAATTAGTTACAAATTGATAGTTACATCGATGCAACTTTACAATCTGAAGTACAATTGGTAACGTTCCGGAATTGCATTGAGCAGCTAATTTAACTACCTGTTAAATTATATTTTTAATTAATTCGGAGTTGACAATTATGAGGTGCCACTGGTAATATTTGGAAATCGCGAACATTTTATTGGCGGATATTGTCTGGTTGTAGCTATTAAATTGTTTTCAGCTTCGATTAACCGGAAGTTTGTAATTAATTGTATCAAAATTATTTTTTGAACATCAAAATGACGAGTGTTGGCAAGTAGTTATTCACAAAATTAATCGAGCTATCAGAGAAATCATATAGGACATTTAGATATGCCCTTCACAATTATAGATGTATTAGAGAGGAGACTAAGAAATGTGTACTAATAAAACGATAAGAATTATATTTAGCATAAGACCAAAAACGTGCTGGATAGTTGAAATTCGCAGATGTCCGGTAATCTGTAAAAGAAGGAGCAAGCTATTCCGGGAAAAGGGCTCGTCTAAGAAGTCTGATAAATCCGACAAATCCAAATAATGTAAGATCGCGGAGAAACACGCACCTACCTGCAACAATCTCGGACCATCTTCTTTGCTTTTACTGTCGGCTTCCTCTTCAGCGTTCCGAGTCTCTCCGTTACTAGTTCGTGCGCGGGAGCGCGTCGTTGTGGGTGTGAGCCACGTCCCGTGTTACCCGTTGAGGGGTGGTTGGCGTATAAGCATCGTTCGGTCTCGGTGGCACACACCGAGCACGTACCACGTAGCCGTGATATTGTCACATGCCTCTGGTGCAAAGCTCCAAATTGTATCGTCGTAGCCGCGTGTTGCATGTGCCAGCGAGTCTTCTGCTCGTTTACCCGTCTGTTTTAGCCCGCTACTCCTCCCGGGTGTTGCTACTTATACCGAGAAACGGCAATAACATCCAACACGCTCGAGTGATCCTTTTTCTTTTCGAGCTGACGCCGCGCCGCGCTCGTATATGTTCCGTGAGGGTTGAACCCGAGGGTGTGTCTGTGCGAGGATAGAACGCGTAAACAGACAACGGCGGTAGTTTTCTCCGATTGAGA